TTCTCTTTTTAATCAAAATTGTCAAAATTGTGAAAACAACAATAATTGTGATAATTTTACAAGTGCTGATTATTGGGATTCGATGAAAATTGGGGGTGCAACAATCTTGAAGATGATATTCATGTGATTATTGAATTTTTTTTGGTCAAGTACAAATTATACATTGGTAGACGAGAACATTTACATTTCACATGTTGTTCGTAGTTCAAATTATTGATGAACATCAGAAAAAGTTCTTGACACCGATTATGTGAATGTCAAGCGACTAGTTTGTAGAAGAAGAATATTCAGACATCATGGCAAATGCTTGCTTTAAAGCAAAAAAATAAAAAAATAAAGTTAACATGTCAAATAGGAGTGCATATGTCATTTGTGTTGAGGAAATTCGCAAATGACATTGATGGCAACGCAGTTGAAGGAAAGTTATTTTTTCGAAATTTAAAAGATTCGTGACTCCATACTTTATTCATTGGATGTTCATCACACACATGACAAACAAACTAGTTGTTGGGTGATTGGAAGGACACACCATAATAAATTTCTAAAGCCGAACATAATCTAACATTCATTTGAAGTTTTACATAAATATCACTTATCGTAAATCATGGATGGCTAAAGAACGTGCTTTAGGGCTCTAATGAGTTAACCTAATCTCAATTATGAAGTTTTAACTAAAATGATTCAATGAAATCAATGACTTTTTTAATTCGGTCTTATGAAATTGTTGATCCTTTAAGAATTGAAAAGCTAAGAAAGTTTAATGGAAGAATTATAGTTACGTTATGCCCCTGTTTAATGTGGTTTAAAATTTGAATTAAAATTCAAGTCATAGTCAATAATTAATTTTGACCACGCATTTCATGGAATCCATATTTTCTCATTCATATATTTCATTAACTTTAAAATTTAATACGTGAATATTTTGAAGTTCTAAAAAAATCCGAGATTATTGTTACCACAAGTTTGTTTGGTTCAAATTAAAATTTTATTTTAATTTAAGTCAAAGTCAAATAATCAATATTAATCACATTTGTCATGTGTCCTATAATTTTTTTAATCACACATTTCAAAAAAATTTCACAATCTACTCAAAAAAAATCTAATTTTAATCTTTACCAAAACAGCATCTTTTGGATTGGGCCGTTAGATACCAGGAGGCCCAACTAACTCTCAAATGTAAAGAAAAATAACAAATTGTGCATGGTGGGTAAAGCGTCACCGTTTTGCACATGTCCAAGATGCAGTAACATTACGTCTTCAATTCCGAAACATGGCAAAGCCTAAACCCTTTCCTCAAAGTCACGACCTATACGTACACGTATACATACACTGTTTTAATTTACTATTCTATCCTCATTTCCCCAACTGCCCCTCTTTCTTCCTTTTCCTTAAAACGCGTGGGCTTTTCTGTCAAATCATTGCTTCCCCTCTTTCTTCTTTCACTACTGCCCAGACTGGCAGTATCCCTTCTCCAATTTTCATTCGGAAAATATTGAGGATAAAAATGGAGCACCCATTTTTTCCAACGACCACCACGAGGGCGGAAGCGTTGCGGTGGCTGACCATCGCGGAGAAGCTTCTTTCGAAGCGTGACCTGATGGGGAGTAAGTCGTTTGCGACCCGGGCGGTTGACTCTGACCCGACCCTATTACCTGCTGACCAGATTCTAGCTGTGGCTGACACGCTCCTCTCCGGCGACCGGCAGATCGGGAACAACCTGCAGGACTGGTATTCGATTCTTCAGGTCTCTCCTCAGCAGGGCCATGACCAGGAGCTCGTGGCGTCGCAGTACCGCCGCCTGGCTGTCCTCCTAAACCCACAGAAGAATAAGTTCGCATTTGCTGACCAGGCCTTCCGCCTCGTGCTGGAAGCCTGGACTGTGCTTTCCCATCCTTCGAAGAAAGCTCTGTACGACAAGGAGCTAGCTTTCTATATGCAGCCGCAGCCCGAATCATTTAACCCCGTGTCTCTGCCTCGGGAACATTTGAGCATCCCCACATTGCAGCAAAACTTCATTTTCTTCGGGGCTAATAGTGCTGGTAGTGTGAATAATCACTCTCACACTCCTCAACCACGTGTTCATGGTGGCAGCAGCGGCAGTGCTGCGACTCATTTCCATCAACTGCACGTACATGCGCAACCGGTCGACCCGGTGGCTTCTGGGGGAATTCGAGAACAAGCAAGTAAGTACACACCGCAGAATTTCATTAATTTTACTTCAGATGCTAATATAGCTTTTGGGTCTGGTTCAGTGTCGACTCAAGAACCCTTGAATAAGCAGCCACCGGAAAACTACCCTTCTTTCACTGGTAATGTACCTTCTGTTTCTGGGTCAAATCTTAATGTGCATGCCAATGAGAATGTGCAAGATGCGAGAGGAGATGAACAAGATGTGGAGAGGATGGTTACACAGGAGGAGGAGGAGGAGGAGAGAGTGGATGTACCCTCAAATGACAGTGGCTCTACTTTCTGGACTGCTTGTCCTTATTGCTATCATATGTATGAGTATCCTGGGGTGTATGCGGAGTGTACCCTCCTCTGTCAGAATTGTAAAAGGGCCTTTCAGGGTGTGGTGATTTCACCACCGCCAATTGTGAATGGGCAAGAGTGTTACTTCTATTGCTGGGGATTTTTTCCATTGGGCGTTTCAATGGAAAATATGAAGAAAAATAGGAACCTAGCTTCTATTTGGACCCCATTTTCGCCTATGTTTAGTTGCCCTCCAATGCGGAATGAGAATGATGTGGATAAAAAGGGTAAACGGAAGGCTTCGGCTCCTAGGGTATATGTTGAAGATGATGAGGTTTTTGTGGAACTGTCAGACTCAAGTGAGTCCGATGTTGATTGGCAGGATGATAGATCAAGAAGGAAGAATAAAGTGACAAATGTGCAAGGAAGGAGTGCCAGTGAAACGCCCAAAAAAGTGATGAATGTAAATACCGAAATTGCACAAGTTAAAGCAAAAAATGCGAATGCAGAAGATGAATTTGTACCTCCAAAAGGAAGTGAGATGCCGAATAAGTCAGTGAGTGAGTCGAGTAAGAAAGGAGGAGCTGCAGCTAATGCTCGGAAGCGACCTGGGGCTGTTGCGAAGAATTTTGAGAAGTTGGATTTGAATGTGGAGTTTAGCAATGAAGTTGAAGAGCCCGCACCAAGCATGAATAAGGAAAATGGACCAGGACCAGGACCAGGACGCGGGGAGGATGTTAACATTGAAGGGATTGGCTTTTTTGAGGGTCTCGATGAATTCCTAAACAGCCTTCCAATTCTTAATGTCGTAGGGGACGACAAGGTTGTCAAAGCTGCTTAATGAAACAAGACTCCTTTTTGTTGCAATTTGTATTGATGAAAGGGTTGTCAATGCTGCTTAGTGAAACAACTCCTTTTTGTTATATAATTGTACTTGCCGACAGGATTGTTGAGGCTCGCTTGTGATGTAAGAATCTTTTTGTTGTGAATTAAGCTTTTTAGTAATGAATGATGAAGACAAACTTTGGTAGTTTTCTTAATAATTTTACTGTTATCAATTTAATGTATACATTGTCATGTAGTGCTTTTCTGATACATCTGATAGCTGTTACAATTAGAATACCATTGATGAGTCTATAACCCCTTTTTGGCGGTCTCAAATGCTACGACAGTAGCTGGACTCAGCTTCACTGCCCTTCTACCTAGTGAAAATGTCAAGTGTTAACTAAAAGTATAAGTCATTTTTATGATCTTTATTTCTGACCGAACTTCTAATCTTTGTTATTTGCTTTATATTGGATGTAGTTCATAAATTTTTCTAAATAGAAGATGTTTTTCCTGGCTCATACTATTTTGCATATGGTAAATCCATCTTTTAGAGTTATTTTAGAGATTGTTTTCTACATTGCACATTTCTCCTCGAACTGAGAATTTTAGATTATTTAGGTAATATGTGATGGAAGTGTGGAAGTTTCTGGTTGTCAGTGTTGCATGTATACACATCTCTTCTACGCATGGAAGAGAAGTGAGCAAAAGTGTGTACTATGTAGCATATATAAAGCATTTATTAATGCTCCTTCTCAACAGAAATTGCGATTCCGATTTTTCCGGTTCTTTTTTTTTTTTTTTTTTTCAAATGACAGAAAGTGAACTGATCTGTCTTGAAGAAACTTCACTTTGTTTTTTGAGCTACCAGTTTCTTGATACGGAAGACCAAGTAAGACTTCACAAAAACAGTATGGAGTGTTAACAGGTAAAGGTTTTTGGTGATGTTTTTCACTTGGTTTATGTACTGGTAGTATTCTGCTCATACAAAACGCAATATTGGATCTGAAAAACACGTTTGAAGGAAGAACCTTCTGTTGTTCTTTTATGTTTCAAGTACAAATGCTACTGGTTTAATTTTAGAGTATTTATCTGGGCATGATAGGTTATCTACTACTGGTACAATTTGTATTAAAGAAGCATGGATTACTGCATCTTCATTTGATTTGGAGCCTGCTCCATCATTCTCTTTGAATTAATGAAGCAAAGAAGCTGCTTGCACATTGAACTGAATGATGAACAAATTTTGTTGTCTTCTGACAGGTGTTTCTGTTAGTTACCACAGGTGATATTTGCTATTTGGCCTCTATTCTATCATAAACATTGAAGTTGGATATCTTCTTTGTTACTTCTTTTTCTGTCGTTATAGTTTTAGATAGCCTCAAGAGACAAAGAGCACCACTTGGGAGGAAATTATATGCCTACATACATTTAAGCTTTGTATATTTCTCTAATCTGGTATATATCAACTATGGAGATGTGCTACCTTGAGTGACATGTCATGCAGCACACAGTAGTTGCTCGTGGATCTGATCATAGAGTTGCATTGAATGTGTTCACGTGTATGCCTTTGTTACTTCTCCTGCTGTTTTCTGGCTATATAATGGTTTTTTCCCTTGTCTTTTGGATTTCATTGTCAGGTAAGAGAGGTTGAAAAGTTCATGTTGGTAGTTTCTGAGCCTGGAGTTCAGTTAGTTGATGTTGCTGTTCTTTAGATGCAAGTAATTCTGTTGTTTCTTATGTGGGTAAAATGATGCTCGATTTTGATTATGACATTATCTTCAGTCTGAATGTTGGAGAGAGGACTGAAGAGGATTAGGGTTCCATATACTGTTTGTTTCCACATACCGCTTCATTTCCTTGGTGGGCTGTATGGTGTAGCTATAGCCTATACATATGAGTAACTATTGTAAAGGATTATACACATTATAAAACACAATCCTTTCTCCCGTGGATGTAAACCCGTGCAGAAACACAATATATCGTGTGTTATTATTAGTGCTTTATTTTAATTCAGTTTGGTATTAGAGCGAGTAAAGAATAATATTTTTCGTCAAACTCGTTATTGACGGTTGATTATTCTGCTGAAGTCCACTGTAACTTATCTTAAATTCAAAACTCTTGTGCTACTGTTGCCTACCTCTTTGGTTGTAATCCTTATCGGTTTGATTTTTCAATTGAAGGAAATCTTCCCAATTTGCTAATTAAATCGCTACCATCTAGTACCATTGTTTGTTTAAGTAAGTGTTAATTGACCTCTCTATTTAGTGCTGCTGTGGATTCTAGTTCATTGGGTGCCACTGTTGATTCTTAGTTGGTTCTACCAACATCTTTTTACAGGTGGTGCCTTGGTTGGTATTGTGGTGGATGAATTCTTGTAATTTATTGGTGGGCCCCTTTTAATCTTTTTCTTTTTGTATTTGGACAGTTTGGTGATGGTTTTGTGTTGCAGTATTATTTACTAATTGTTTTGCATTTTTTAGTAATCATGGTGACACTTGGGCTGTGTAATTTGGGCTTATATCACCTTCGATAATTTTACTTGGTTCTCGTCAACACTGAGATAGTTAACATTGAACCCTGTGTTCGAAGTTGGAGTATGGCAAGAAAAAGAAAGAAGGAATTTTATCTATGCCATTCATAGTCTTCTGAGTTCAATAATAATGGTTTCCTCATGTAGAGGATGCAGGGTTTTATAATGGCAATTATCCAACCAGCATGAAATGACTACTGATTTGCGCCTAATCTTGTGGATGGACCAGGTAATGTTTTTGTCCTGTATTCACTTATAGTTTATATTTATTTGTAGTAAAATGCTTGTCATTGCTATGCTATTCTATTGCATTCTGCATTTCTTACAGGTAAAATATACGGAGGCACGATTTTTTTCTGAACTGCACCAGAACAAACGGAAGTTATTGCAGCTTCTTGATACTGTATATAGTATCTTCTGTTATTTGCTATTAATGTGGTAATTGTGTTGAAATTCACATTTCTCGGGCTTCATTGTTGATGCCTAAAATTTCAAGATCATAGAACAGTTCTGAACTTGGAATACTGTCTGTGTTGCCTGGGCAACAATTATGACTACAATAGGTATCCTTTTTCTTTACCTTCCCATCCTTGTACTAAAGTTATGGAAGATAATACTATGCTGCTATGTTACATTGATCCCTTCAGGCTCAAGTACCTGACCCGCGAGACTGAACTTGTGGACGGTGGATCCGTTGGCTTGAGCACAAAATTATAAATTATTATTGATCTCATCCTTAGAAAGGACTCAATGAAAAAAATTCCCATTTTCTGCGTTGGTTGTTCATTGTTATTCTTGCTTTTATCCCTGCTTTATGGTCCATTTCTCAAGTATCTTGAGCATTCTGTTTATGATATGTTTGAGTAAGCTCTTTAACTATTTTGTTGTAGAGGATGTATTGTCTTGAATTTGAGCAAGTTAGATTAGGTCCTCTTCGGTAGGACTTTTGAAAAGTTAAAAATTGTTTTTGGAATTAAGAAACTACTTTGAATATTTTTCTAAAAGTGCTCTGTCTGATTGGAAGAGGAAGCTTGCTCTTCAGGAAGCTATTTTACAAGAAGCATAAACAAGGGTTCTTTTATGAATTTTTTGGGATGTCGTGCAAGGTGTATTAGATAATACTGAACAATATATAAAGAGGGAAGCTAAAATTGTGTTGGTTGTGGTGTTCTGTATGTGGTCTAATTAAAACTTTGTATCAAAATGTACTTAATGTGATGAGAAAGCATAAGTAAAAATGCAAGTACGTAGCATTAACTAGATTACTTATATATAACACGATACGCATTTGTGTGGTTGACAAAATCTTGATTTTATTGATGAACTTAATAGAGTTCGTTTTTATAATTCTCCATTGATATTTTTAGGCTTGAAAGTAATTTAAATTATATATATTAAATTTATACTCAACTTATTTATTCAGCCACAAGAGAATATAAAACAAAAATGGAATATGTACCTATCAATGTTTATCTGGCAAGTGGCAACATTATCGCCTCAAGTTGGCATTAAATTTTCAATTCCCACCCAATTCAATCCGAAGTCTCGACCACCCCGAAGAATGGCTTATCGAAGCAGCATATGCAGGAAGAGAAGACTTCTTAAGGTAAGAAAAACCAGAATTTTTTTATAATTATACTCGATTACCATAAAACTGAATTTTGCATGTCATGCCAAGTTATTGGAGAGTTCAATCAGAATTTAAAACTATCCAGTTAATACAAGTGACATGGAGAGAGTTCAATCAGAATTCAAGACTATACAGTTAATACGAGTGACATGGTGTTCAAACAAGTAATTTAGGGTTCGTTTTTCACTTCTTGTAGAACTTTTTGGATATGCTACCTTAACTAGTGTTTGAAAACTAACTTTTAAAATAAATTTCTCCTCTGAACAAGCTTTTAGGCCTTGTTTGATTGCAAAAGTTTTTCATGAAAGTAGGAAATCACATTTTTGTATGTTTGATTGGCCAAATTTTATTGGCAACGCCCCATTTTCCACCTTTTTGAGAAATTCGTTCTCGCATGAGTTTGGTGGATTTTGGTTTTCTAGGGTTATTTATTTATTTATTATTATTATTATTATTATTATTTTTTTTTTTTTTTTTTTTTTTTGGGAATTGAAACAAATTCTGTTCCCAATTGTAACAAATTTTATTCCTTTAATTGACAATTTTCAAGGAAAACAAAGTCAAACGAATATCAAAAGATTCAAAATTTCAATATTTTTTAGGTGAAAAATTATA